TAGATAATGTACATTAAATAAATGAGTAAGTAAACGGATAATAGATTACACATGGTATTACACCCCCCCTATAAATAGTAGCACTTAGGTTATCTCTAGAACATATGTGTATTTATCTAGTGAGTAAGTAAACGGATAATAGATTTCACATGGTGTTACTATGCATGATCTTACCTATAAATAGTAGCACCCGTTTGAACATTCGAAGCAACAGTGGGAGAGAACGAACAGCAACGGAAGAGAACGTAAAAAGAGAAAGAAATTGTACGTGATAATGTACATTAAATAAATGAGTAAGTAATCGGATAATAGATTACACATGGTATTACACCCCCCCTATAAATAGTAGCACTTAGGTTATCTCTAGAACATATGTGTATTTATCTAGTGAGTAAGTAAACGGATAATAGATTTCACATGGTGTTACTATGCATGATCTTACCTATAAATAGTAGCACCCGTTTGAACATTCGAAGCAACAGTGGGAGAGAACGAACAGCAACGGAAGAGAACGTAAAAAGAGAAAGAAATTGTACGTGAGAAAGAAAGTTGTGGTACATTGTTTTAGGTTATCTCTAGAACACTTTTATATCTCTACTAAGGTAAGGAGGAGGAGAACTTTATCTCTTTAAAATTTTATCTACTACTATGTTTATTTATGTTATTTTCTATGTGTATTTATCTAGTGAGGTGTCCCTAACCTCATTTATTTGCTTAACCTATGATTATTTTTATCCATAATAATTATTAAGTTCATATTTTATATTGTTTAATTATTTCATACCGATTATCATTGTCATTTACTTGATTGGTGCTCTTTAATATATTTTATTTACGTAAATGTTGTTTATTTAAAGCTTAAATAATGATAAATACTCAAATTTATTTAGTGTGATTGTTTTTATGATTAACTATAATATAATTTTATTAAAATATCTTTGACTCGTTTTGTTGTTATTTCTTCACGTATTTAAAGATAAATATTATTTTATGGCCATAGAAGATAAAATTTGAATTATTTGTAGCTGGAGATTTGACCTTGGGGATTTTAAATGAATAAGGAGTTAAGATTAAAAATCCTTATGTTGGTTGATATTATAATGTTCATTTATCCTGACTAGTCACTGCAAGTGTAATTCAAATTTTTATGTATATTTTCTAATATTAACTATTGTTATGCATGTTATGTGATTATAAATATTTCTTTGAAAATTGTTCTCACTCCTTATTTTTCTTGTGTAAAATATTTAATTAATTATAATGAAAAACAGATGAACCTACCTACCGTACCAGGCCCTTTCTCTTTCGTTATTACCACAGTTTTTCCGGGTACCAGTTGGGTTATGGACGCATCTGCAAATGCCATTACATTTCAGGGGATAAGATTATCAACTTTTGTATTTTCATCAACCCAACAAAATCCCGTTATCATAGATGGCCAGATAGTAGTCACTTTTTATTTACCTCCAACAAATCATGTTAATCCTATAGTGAACTTGTATTAACTCGATATGTAAGCATTATAAAAATTAGTGTAAGAAATAAGTAGTTTTAAAGTATGTACATTATTGTAAAAAAAATGTTTAATATATGATGCAAATATAAAGTGTTATATGTAAGCAAGTTTATAAAATTTTCTTTAATAATATAATGTACATAATTATTATATATGCAAAATATTAGAAGTAATATTCACGCGACTGGGTTGTTACAGGTTATGCTATGATCATTAAAATTTGTTCAATTATGTAATTATGTTGATTATTTTCACAAGTTTATCTTTTTTTTTCTTGTGATTAGAACTACAATGATCATACTTAGTATGAGAATATGACAAGATTAGTTGGATGGCTTGGTTGGTTAACTGACAAGTCATGCTGGTGGTGGCTCATTTTGTTAAGGCTACTTTGTTGTAGTTGGATCTTTTATAGTCATTTGACCAATGAATAAGGTTATTTATATACTCTGGTATATTGTGTAAGTAGATTGTATATATATATAGGTTATATTTTTTATTTCTTACCTTATATATATATATCAATGTGCATTTTAACTTTACAATAGTTGAATTTTTTTATTTTTTTCCATTATGTAGTAGTTGAGCAATAGTAAGAGTAGGACCTATTTTATCATTACACAGACTGCCCAAAGCCTCCCATCACAACCCTAATGGCTTAAAACTTATTCAATTTGATTATCCTAATAATTACTGGTAATTTATTCGATGCATACTTTGTATTTAGTTGTTTCATTTCTTTCCTTCTAATACAAAAGATTCACAAACTCAAATATAACTAATAATTTTGTTTATGAGACATGATTTAGTTATTTTTTATTTAAAATTTACATTGAACATTAGATGATATATTTGAAGTTAAATTTTTTTTAGTCTCTTTTGTTGTTCAATCTGTGACAAAAAAAGGCTAGGCCCGCCAAAAATGTTTAAAGGGGAATGCAAAAGGCAAGCAGGAAAATACAACGAATCAACCACTCTTTGTTTTCTGCAAAAATATTAGTGTGGAATCTACACATTATATTTTTGTTTACCAAATAAAAATAAATAAATAGTTTAAATTCTATACATGATTGATGGAAAAAAAATTAATATATTAACCAACTAAAATTATAATAATTATAATTTTTAAGATAATTATTATAAAAGACTCATTTACTGTAATTAACAATAATTATACATAACAATTTATAATTGAATAAAGTATAAAATCGTCTTACACGTCTAATAGATAGATAATTTTAAATAAAAGAAAAGGTTGGTTTTGTTTTTTTTTTTTTTCTCTTGTTCCACTTTCTTTCTTCTTTCACAACAGGGAAACACCTCAACTAAACAAAGTGTAAAGAGGTGAAGAATAGCAACCACGTTGAGCTGGCTTGGAGATTTATCATCACTTTAGAAATATCTTTTAGCCCGTGATGGATTCATATGTCTTTTTCATGTTTATACATGGAAGAAGACAGATTGTTTATTACCATGAAAATACCACTTCTGGCAAGATTTTTTATTATTGTTATGGTAGTTACAAATATCCTACCTATTCTTTATATATAAATTCCTTTTCACTTTTTTTCCCTTTATTACGAGACTATCTTCTACTTGTAAGATGTATAAATTATATCTTCTCTAAAATATTATTATTTAATTTATAATTTTTTTAGACAAAAATAAAAAATAATTGAATAAAAACTCTCTCTATTATTAGGATTGGAAAAGATAAATAGATACATAGGTATTTTTCTCTTCCAAACATTAAATAGGTGAGAAATAATTAAGTGAAAAATAAAAAGTTAATTTTTTTTTAAATAGGAAAGAAAACAAAACAAAATCAGAAAATAAACCTAGTATAGGTGAGTTACACCTGAAGCATCAACTAAAGCTAAAGGTGAAATAATAACAGGATAAGAATCAAATAATTTAAATTAAAGTATGAATAGAAAAATCCTCCTTTGCAAGTTCATTTACAGTTACACACATATTAACCTCTCTATACACATGTTGAAACTTAATCTTCCCAATCCAATTCTTGAGAAGCTTGGATCTTCCTTATGATAGTAACATGGAAGTGGAACGGAATATCACTTTGAATAAATGAGTTGTATAACCAACTTTGAATCAATTTTGAAATAAAAGGTTAATTTAACAAATGTTAAGGATAATTTTGAAACTTTGGTTTAAATTATTGACAAATTTATTGTTCTTAACTAAATTACCTAATTTTTTTAAAAGAATATAATTTAGTTTAAAGGGTGTTATAAATAAGGGGAGAGGTAATACTTCCTTTCATTAGTGAAAAGAAAACTTACGCAATGAATTAAGTTAGCTTATAAAACTACTTGACACAATATACCACAATTTGATAAATCCTTTTACAAGGTAGAAGAAAAGCCTAGCAACCAAATCCAATAGGCTATCTATATGTGGCCATTGTTAGGTTTGTAATCCAATGGAAAAGTTAGCATTATCTAACAATTATCATGAAAGTTGGTGGACCATACCAACCTGATTTTAGGGTTGTCTCTAATAAAGCAAAAGTTCATTTACTACTATGTTTACAATGAGAATGACAAGATAGTTTGGGCGTTTATAAAATGGAATAGTAGTTAATTACAAGTAAATTATTAATCTTATTCATTTGGCATATACTTAATGTAAAAACCAGCAAAAGTATACAGGCATCTCTTGATTATGTTCCATTGTTCTTGTTTGAAAAACAGCATTTGTTTTCTTAGTAATGCTTTTATGTGATAAAAGCAATTGAGTTATTGCGAGATGATTGGCGGAAAAATGGTTAAACTGATTATCATGCGAGTAAAAATAATTATTAAGAAAAATCATTTTAATTGAAATTGAATATCTTTAACATGGTTACATTGACAAGTGAATAATACCTAGGACCCAAAGTAATACTTGGACAAAATCTTCTTATCGGATATTTCACGTAGTATAATTATTGTCTTTATTTAATAATGCGACAAATGTACTTGTGAACTTAGAATTCCATAAACATGATCCAAGAAAAAGATTATCGTGCATATTAGAACCATTAGAGGCTGAAGGGCATTTGCAAAATCAGATTTGAGTCGATAAAATACATTGCTAAACGGAGAAATGTCAACATCTAAACAAGGTTAGTCTCAAACTTACAAAAACAAGAGTGAACAAATAGAGGAACCCAGACTTCCAATAGGAAAATGGCTCATTTTTTATTATGTTGATGGATATTTAATAAGAGTTTAACATAATGCATTGAGAATGTAAAATTTAACTACAATTTATCATAATTAAGGTGTTTGTTGACTTTTATAATAACTATCTAAAATCATACAAATTGTGATTTATGATCCATTAATTATAAAACTTCTTACACTGACAATCATTAAACTCGATAATCTTAAAGCAACAATCAAACACAATGCATTAATTTGTTCTTCAACAATAGTATATGGTCAACCACTACACTCATTTCTAATAGAAGTAAAAAAACTAGATAAACCATGCTGGTATTTATATGAACTTGTAATCTTATTATGATGCTATAACATGTAATTTGGCACCATTGGAGTGTCAAGGAAATAAAATATTGCCTTGAAACTCTGAAATAGATATCACACCAACCTCTGGACTGACAAGGATCCAAACAATATTAATATATATCCAAATGCATCAAATCAATTACATCCTAAACACTGTCCCAACTCATCCTGATAACAGATTTCTCAAAAGAATGCAAAAGATTGCTAGTTTGCTACTACAGGGAACAATTGACATTCTATCTTCTTCCTGATGATATAAATCAGGCTGCCTACACTGAGGTAACAGTAAGCCTGTATGCCATGTAAGCTAGATGACATTTATTAAAGCTAATTTTCCCTAACCTAACAATTAATGTGAACACATGCAACTTGCCTCACCTCAAGATTTCTCCTCATCTGATTGAGAGCATGGGGGCTCGGAATTAACAAAGAAGTCGTCCACTGAAATGAAAACAAAGGCATCTTTGTTAATCAAAACTGGAACTTCACTTAAAAACTAAAGCAATAGTAGAACTTTCCAGATAGCTTCGGCATTAAATGGTGTTATTTGTGTTGTCATTTCAGAAACCAGATAGATGCTTAGTAATGTGCCAAACTCGATCCTCTGTGGTATAAGGTGCTCTACTAATTAATCTAATTCTTGAAATTTTGATTTCTTTCTAACGTCCACTTTGTAGTTAGTTTTGAAATTTTATCTTGCCCTCTGTTTTTGTTTTTCCTCGAGTCTTGAGCAGATTTTGTAGTGTTTTTATAATATTCTACAGATTACAGTATGAATATGTATTCTTAAGTTTTAATAACAGTAACAGTAAAACAAGCTTTTATGAAGCCTAAACAATTTTATCAAGTGAACTTAATGTCTCAACCTAGGTTCCTATACTAAGAAAATTTTAATACATGTCCCTATAGTTCAAAGTTTATAATTGGGTCCTTTAGTTTCAAAAACAACATAACTGTGACAGGATTAGTGGTCCCTGAATCCACCTAGCGCTATAGGGGTCCAACAAAAATATTTTTTGGGAAGTATTGGAACCCAGTTGCTAACCCTGTTTCTGACTGATGCAACCCCAGAGATTACTGTTACCCATGGAGTCGTTGATGGTCTAGAAGCATATCAAGTAAGAGATGAGGGTATAAGAAGGGTGAATCTCAACTGTATAATTAAAATTTATGTATGGTTGTATGTAAGCATTACCTATGTCCTGTTGATCAGGAGACTCGAGCAAAATATCTGAATCTGACGGCAAAAATGGTGAACCAGGATAGTTTCCCAGAGCTCCTAGATCTGCAAAGAATTCAAGACAATAAAAGCAAGAAGACGCTAACAGTGGTTGAACTTGCAAAATCATGTGTATGACTATAATCCTTGATTGCATTCAATGATTTCTTAAAAGATTATTCACCATTTAAAGTTTTAAACTGATAGCCCCTACAGATGCGGAAACAAACAGAACAATCAAGGTCTAATTTTACTCAAAATTTGATATTGATATTTAATGCTTCCTCATTATTTTTGGTTATTACTGATTCCAACAGATGCACCTTATTCTTATCAAATATTCAGATTATTTTGGGCAGATCGAGAACATCACAAATCTCAAACTCAACATGTGTTGTAGATCTCAGACAACTTCACTCCCTGATGACATTTGAATCTGACTTACTTTAACTGCATATCTAAAACTGAATCAGATAGTCAAATAAGAAATTACCTCCCAAGTTTGGCAAATCTGCTGTTAGATCTGATAGGCTAAAATTCCATTGAATTTGATCCAACGATCTGGAAATTCCATTGCCACCATCTGGTGCAAGCTGTAATCCAACTGAACTTGCCACATCAGATGTAAATGCTGTATCAAGAGCTGATGTATCTGCGCCCATTCCTGATATCTCTGATGCAGTGAAGGGGAAATGACCACTGGATGCTACTGATGTTGGACTTACTGGCATTTCTGAGACGGATGACATTGCACCATTTGGTGGAATAACAGTAGCCATGTCAGGAGCACTATGGTCCATCACCATACTTCAACAAGAACAAAAGCAAAGCAAGTTACTTTTAAAATAAAAAACAGAGGAAGGTCCTCCACGTCAAACTAATATTTAAGTGAAAGACAGCAACAACAATCTGAACATAAAATGTGCATAATGCAGAGAAACACAAAGGGGACACAGTTGCGTAGACATTTTCATTTACTGAATATTGCATGGTAAACCATAACATAAAAAATTAAAATGCCTACCAACATGACCATGGATCATTTTAACAAACAGTTAGAATAGTGAAATACATTCATGCAACTAAACAGTTCAATGATGAAATCAATTACTATTTAACCACAAAACACATTTCAGACAACTTAACTTCCAAAGCTCGCTATGCAAGAGAATCTACAAGCAATCTTAATAGTATTATTGCCCCCTACGAGTATCAAAAGAAAATTCTACGTAGTAAGGAAAATTCTCACTCGTTTCCGGAATTTATCCGAATGGGATGAAAGTTGCCTGGGGCAGGGACTCCGTTAACTACATGACAACTTGATATACCACAACCCATGGAGTCAATATGAGGTTGACCTGTAGCTGGAATGGGAGGCTGCTGTAACACTGGGTATCCAATAGGTAGGTTGTTGACTGCACTGCAAACAAATAGTGTTAAAGAATAATGCAGGGTAATGATAAAAAAATAACGCGAAGAAGTGAAGTTATGTATCTATAATCTATATTTTAAGACTAAAATGTACACAACAATAAACATAAAAAGTCAAATACTCTCCGACCAATAAAATATTTACAAGCACTAATACAGCAAAATAAATCATCAAACAGTTTCTCATGATTCCAGAAGTGCAGAGAAAGTAGTAAAAAACTTTTTATTCTTATAGATGACTTTCTCCAAGAGTGAAAATATCGAGGTTCTAAAAGTGAAGTGAAAGAAATTTGGATCTATTTCTTCTTCAGAAGTTAAATTTTGTAAGTAATCAATATTGACATCAAAATTTGATTTATACTATCTAAAATTGATGTGTTCAAAATTCATAAATCATCAAATATTAGCAGCTATATAACATTGAACTCGAAGAATATCACACAATGAAATACACAATATATATATATATATATGAGAAGGTATCCATTTACTCCAAGAGTAAGTTTACCTAAACTTACTCCATTCAATAACTCATGTTTTACATCAAATTTCAACAAATCGACTGTTGAATTTGAAGTTTTTAATGCATAGATCAAATCTGCAAATTTCAAAAAAATTTGAAAATCATTTGATACTTCATTTCATTAATTCAAATAAACGAATAATTATAAAATCATTTTAATGAAACGAAGTAGCAAATAATTTTCAAATGTTTTAAAGATTTGCATATTTGATCTATACATTAAGAACATTAAATTCAACAGTTGGATCGTTGAAATTTGATTTAGAACATGAGTTATTGAATGGAGTAACGAATCCCTCCTCTCTCTCTCTCTCTCTCTCTCTCTCCTCCTCTCCCCCTCCTT